ACACACACACACACACACACACACACATATAAATAAATATTAAAATGTAAATTATGTGCTAAAATATATAATTTATTGGAGTTAAGCTGGAAACATAAATATGATGGTCAATTAAACTATAAAACATGAGGTAAAGTTCTCCTTTTTTAATTTAATAGATACATTTTAAGTATATTTATTTATTTATTGGCCCATTTATATATTTCGGCTTTAATTTCCAATTATGTCAGTTTCACCCCTCCATAGTTTTGAAGTCAACCTGATTTAAAAAGTGGCTACAACTGGGTTGATTTAACAAATATTGATCCAAAACCTGACCTGGTAGTAGCTGAGAGTCATTTACAACAGGCACTATGAGGGTTATGCAGGTGGAAGGCATTTCTTCAAGGAATCCTGGGCCTTTAATTGTTTCACATTGTGCTAATTATTTACCCCGAGGTGTTTTTATGATCAGGTTAGTGCGTGTCACATGTCGGTGAGCTAATTTTAGCTGTAATAGGTGCTGCTGAGGACTCCTCCATTAGCAGCAAACGTTCCCCTGACACACAGAGCCTTGCACACACAAGTGGGAGAGGCTGCTTGACTCTCAGCGATCCGGCCGCTTGTTAAATAGTTGTGCAAAGACTTTGATGAGTCAGACGTGGGAAAATGAGACGAGGGTGAACGCGGAGCTGAAACAAAAAAAGGGATCATCTTAATGAGATCCACACATTCTGCTCTTTAGCTGTTTAATAAGATTCAAGGCTGCTGCAGACGTCTTTGGGCTCCTACTTTTTCAAGAATTAGTCACAAAGGAGACGAGTTAAAGATTCTTCTTGGGGGTAAAAAAAACTGCAAATAAGCTGGGAAGGACAGAAACAATTAAAATCTTAGCTAAAATGGTACAAATTACCGGCTAGAGAACTGAGAAAAATGTCAGAATAAAGTATTTTTACACCTTAAAGCATTGTCTGATGCATAAGTCATATTTCAGTTTGTTTTCTCACAGCACCACTCCTCAAGCAGGAGAGAAGATATCAGATTTTTCTATAGAAAGCAGAGAGCACCTTAACTATAAGCCATGAAACAAGAAGCTGCATCTTTTCCTTCACTGTGAGGAAAATAATAAATAAATAAATAAAGAATGCAGAGCGCAGATTTGACGTCTGAATTGCTGGTTGTTTTCTTTTCATGTCTGTGAATAAATGTGTGTGTGTGTGTGTGTGTGTGTGTGTGTGTGTGTGTGTGTGTGTGTG